TAGTACTTTTTCTTTTCACAACTGAAAACTTCTCTTGACAAATTTCCACTTAATAGTGACTCTTCAACAGTGAAAGATTCACCTCATGGTGTTGTCTTCCTACTGAAGCAGAAAATGTAGGCTCAGAATTGGTTTTAAACACATGGAAGGAGAGATGGCTCCACAGTTAAGAGCACTTGCTGTTCTTCCCGAGGACCCGGGTTTTATTCCTGGTACCCGCATGGACACTCACAGCCCTAGTTCTAGGGAATCCATGCTCTCTCTGGCCTCTGCAGGCACCAGGCACACTAGTAATGCACAGACATCCATGTAAGCAAAAACAACCGTACATATAAAAATGAAGTAATTGAGAGCTTTTAGTCAAGTGTTAGCCATAGCCATCTCTCCCATTGCAAGTCAGGGAGCCACGTCTTCTAGAAGCTGAGATTCTGGACACCACACAGGCTCTATCAGTGACCAAGTCAACGTGAGGACTGTGGCAAATAGAAACTCCTCTTCTTTGTGGTATCTCCTCTTGTTTCCATTATTTATGTGCAGGTGTTTATGTGTGAGTATGTTTGTGTATGCATGTGCATGTGTGTGGAGGTCAGAGGTCAGAGTCAGAGGTGTTTCTTGGATTACACCAACCTTATTTATTTATTTTTTTTAAGTTTTTATTTTAGATGGTCTCTCACTTGGTTTGGTTCTCATTGGTTAGCCAGGCAGTAATTTCCAAGTCTGTCCATCTCCACTATCCCAGCACAATAGTCACTATGTGGCCACTTGACCCACCTTGTGCATGTGTATGCTGGGGATCAGTAGGTCCACATGCTTGTGCAGCTGAGCTCTCTCTCTCTCGCTCTCTCTCTCTCTCTCTCTCCTCCCTCCCCTCAGCTGTCCTGTCCTTCTTTCCTGGTTGGTTGGCTGGAGAGCAGGTGTGAGAACCGAAATCCCAGGAGAGCAACACTGAAAGCAGAACCTCCCAACAGCCTCAGCATTGGGAGGAAGTGATCGCTGTGTGTCCTGTCATGACTCTGTGGCCTTCTGTGGTCCTGACCTTGTCAATCACTTCCAGAATCCTCTAATATAGAGTGGAGGAATGGAGTAAGTGCCTCCACAATGTTTATCCTTGGAGTCTGCAGAGGAGGTGAAAGACACACTCAGGAACCTGTATCAACAGGTGTTGGGTGTCTAGAGTTGCCTGCTAATTATCATCCCCTTCCATTCCTCACCGGATGCTGAGGAAAAGCTCACTAAGAATTACAGTATATTTTCATTAGTTACTTGTAATAAAGACTCATTTATTTAAATGTGATACCAGTTTTAGCAAAAACTGTTAAATATAAGGCCTTGGAAAATTCAACTGACTATTAGGAGGTCAGAGTAGAGTTTCATTTTCCCAATTATGAGGAAATGTTGATATAGTGAAAAAGTCATTATCTGGGAATTTATTGTATGTTCTCCATGTGAGACATGGTTAGATGCTGTTGACATGACATTTGATCTACACTCTGAATCCCTCTTGTCTTGCTATATGCTTTCCTCTGTCTTTATTTTTTAAAGTAATGTTTGATTATGCACCTTTTATGTCCTTGGGCAAACAAGGACATGTCAAGTCCAGCAGAAACAGATGTAAAGAAACAAGATCAGGTTAGAAATGAAAGAAATGAAACAGAAAATAAAATACTACAACAGCAAACAGTGAAATGAAGAGCTGGTTGTTTGAAAAGATAAGCAAGGTCAATGATCCCTTAGCCAAACTAGCCAAAAGAAGAGGAGAGACAATTAAAGTTCATAAAATTATAGACAAACAGGAGATATTACTTCAAATACCAATAAAATTTGGAAAATCATAAGGGCATATCTTATAAACTTATATTCTCTTAAGTAGGAAAAATCCAAAAGTTATTAATAAATGACTAGACATTTATGAAACAACAATGTTAAATACAGATGAGATAAAGAATATAAATGAGATAGAAGTGGCAATACACCAACCCAAAATGTCTAGGCTCAGATAGACTCAGTGTAGAGTCTACCAGGCATTTGAAGTAGAACAGTAAGTTTTCTCACTTGTGGCCCTAAAGCAGAAAAGGAAGGAATGCTTCCCAAGTCATTTTGTGAAGCTAGTATTACCCTGATAGTAAAACCAGACAAAGATACAGCAATATAAAAAAAATTGGGGAACATAGATACAGACATTCTCCATAAAATTTCTGTAAACTGATTTCAAGAACATAGAAAAAGAATTGTTCATCATAATTGAGCTAACTTCATTCTAGAGAAACAGAGATGCTCTACATACACAAATCCATAAAGTAATATACCACATAAATAAACTCAAAGACAAAAATCACATGATCATTTCAATAGATGTAGGAAAGGACCTTGACAAAATCCAGCACTCTTTCATGAAAACCACCCTGAAGAGAATATGAATGGAAGAAACATATCTCAACATAATGCAGACTGAATGACCTGCAGCCAACATCATGACACGTAGAGAAAAAGTCAAGGCATTTCCACTAAGACCAGGAATAAGCCCAGGCAGTCTGCACTCTCCACTCCTGTTCAGTACAGTGCTTGAGATCTTAGCTAAAGCGGCAAGACAAGAGAAAGACAGAGACAAACAGGAAGGGAGAAGTCACAGTGTCCTTATGTGCAGATAACAGGAACCCACACATAACAGATTCTAAAGACTCCACCAGAAAATTCTTAGCGCTAATAAATACCTTCAGTAAAGTGCTAGGACACAAAATTAACAAACAAAAACCAGTAGCTTTCCTATAATCAATGACAAATGGACTGAGAAAGAAATCAAGGAGACAATAGTAACCATAGCAGCCTCAAAAACAATAAAATACCTTGCAAGAAACCTAACCCCCAAAATTAATGATCCCCACAATAAACACTTTAAAACATTGAAAAGTGGCATCGAGAAAAATACCAGAAAAAGATTTCCAATGCACGTAGATTGGAAAAATTGCTGTTGAGAAAATCACTGTTCAAAAAAACAAAAACAAAAAAAACCAAAAAAAACCAAAAAAAACAAAAAAGAGTCTATGGATTCAATATAATCTCCACTAAAATTCCACCATTTTTCATGGAAATAGAAAAACATCTAGAATTATATAAAAGATCCTGAGACTCCAAATAAATCTTGCACAATAAAAAGAATTCTAGAGGTATCATTATGCTGAATTTCAAGACATACAACAGAACCATAGTATTCAAAACAGTACAGTATTGGCACAGATATAGATGTGCAAATCAATGGAATAGAATTGGGGACCAAGATATACTCACTTATAAGGACCAGGATATACTCACTTATATGGTAGCTCTATTTTTAGTGCCTGAGAAATTTCCTCCCCGATTTCAACAGCACCTGTATTGGTTTACACTGTCACCAACAGAGAGGAAGGGCTTCCCCTCCCTCACATCCCCACCATCATTTGTTGCCATTTGTCTTCTCAATGATATCCATTTTGATTGGAGTGAGAAAGACCTCAAATCATTGAATTACCCAAGTCCCCAATGGGTAAGGATTTGACCACTTTATAAATATTTATTATCCATTGGGGTTTTTTTTGATGTGTGTGTGTTTGTGTGTGTATTTTGTGTGTGTGTTTCTTCTGTTGAGAACTCTCTATTTCCATAGCCTATTTATCATTTGCTTTCTTGATGTTTTCAGGTTTTTCTGTATTCTGGCTATTATTCCTCTGTCAAGGGTGTAGCTGGTGAAGGTTTGCTCCCTCCACATAATCCAAAGGACTCTGTTTCCTCTTACAGAGACACTTGCCCCTCTGTGTTCATTGCTGCTCTAGTCATAATAGAGGAAATGAAAATTGTCTAGCTGTCCAGTGCTAAGATGGCACTGGTGATAAACATAATGGAAATGTGGCACTATAATAATCCATGAGAGGAAGATACAGACCATCACACTAATGTAGACAATTAAGTTTATAAAAGTCCTTTAGTTTTAGCCATTAACGAAGAATGTGCTCATGCCTCAAAGTCTCCTGGTGCAGAAAGTCAGAGTTACAGCATTTTAAAGGCAAAACCTACAATTTCATTGATGTTGGAATGAGAGGGAAAATAAGCTTGCATCATTTGTTTTGACAGAACATGGATATTTTAGACACAACATGACAATTAATTTTGACCCATACCTTCTTTGGTTATTTTAGTTTAAGTTCATATATCACTAATTATTTTGGTTAATACATTTGGACCATGATGGTCATTGGAATCCCAAATGTGTTGCCAAGGGAGATATCACTGTTGTGAGGTAGACAGCTAAGAAGAGGCTGAGGAGACCAAAATGGAGTCAAAATGGAATGGCTTTGCCTTAGTCACTTTAGTAAATGTATGTGATAGAACTTTATTGAGTGTAAAGAAAACTGAATTTGTAGGAAAATTGATGGAACTAGAAAACAGTATATTGAATGAGATAATCGAGGGCTGGGAAAAAATTTTTCACTCACAAATGTTGGTTCTACCTTGAAATTTTTAGATTTCTGTATTTACCTTGGATGCCTGTAGAGGCCAGAATGTGTGAAAAGGAAGGTGTTAATATGTGTGTTATATGAAAATAGAGAGGGAACTGTGGCAGAGGAAGGTTTATCTGGGGGTAAGGGAGGAGGAAGGAGGTGGTGGGGTGGAAGGTAGTGCATCTGGAACTGGATCTGTGCGAAAAAGCCATGTGGAATCTACAGTTTTGTAACCAAATTAATCAAAAATAATTTAAAAACTGAGTTTGAAGGGTGGTGACCTGTATGAGTGGATAATGCTCCTTCCAGAGTCATGGGTTCTTAAACAAAAATTCTCATACCTACTTAGGAGTTGTTGACCCAGAAGGCTGGAGTGCCACAGAAGTGTAAGGCAGGTGTCCCAGATCCACTTGGGTTTAGAGTAAGGCCAGGTTAGGATTGGGGGGTGAAGAGAATCACCCAGAAATTTGATTACACGGTTATCAAATCCTCGGAGTTGGGGATGTAATTCTGGCACACCTGGGGCAGGCCTGGAGCCCTGGGTTAGGTACCAGCACTACTACACAATAGAAGTAAAAACTAACTAGAAGTAGACAACAAACGCACAGAAGGAAGAACATGGTGACCTTTGGAAAGGGCGGCCATGATGGAGCTTGAGGGAAGCCCTGTGCTCCTCTGTCTTTCCTGTGTGTCTCACTGCTGCTCTCTCCCCTCCCCCTCCTCTCCCCCACCTCTGTCCTTCTCCATTCCTCCCTCTTCTCTTTTCTTTCTGCTCTTTTGTTTTCAAGGTAGAGAGCAGAAGCAGTTTCACTTTGTAGCCCAGGCTGGCCAGCACCCTCTATGTAGCACAGGCTGTCCTTCAACTTGCAAACCTTGGGCCTCAGGCTGAGTCCTGAGATTATAGGTGTGTGCTCCTATTCCTCCTTCTGAAGTACTCGGGATGTTCTATAAAAAAATCTGAGTTTCACAAATACAAATATGTCACATTGTAAATATACATCAAGCTATCTAGTCAGATTTTGCATAATTCTGTACGTATGTGCTTGTGTGGCTGTATGTGGGTGTGCATCCCTGTGGAGGTCAACAATAGTGTTATCCTCACTCTCACACTGAACCTGGGGTATGAACCAGGGATTTCTGATTCAGTCAGAATGGATGTTCAGCAAGTGCCAGGGATCCCCCTGGCTCCCCCTCCCACTACCAGGCTTTTGACCTGGTGCTGGGGATCTGAACTCAGGTCCTCATGTTTACAGAGTCCGGCCACTGCCCAGCCTGCACTTTCTCTGTGTGTATCTCATACTTTAATAAAAGTTAACTCTATAAAAAAAACTTTCACAATTTTTATTCTTTAACAATTTTGAGAACTTCATACATAGGATGTATTTTAATCATACTCGGCCTCACTCACCCTCCACTGCTACCTTACAACAGAATTCACCCCGAAGTCCCCCTCCCAACAACTTCTTCCCCCATCCTCTCTTACCCTCCCTCCCCCTCCCTCCTTCCTTCCCTCCTTCCCTCCCTCCCCATTCCTCTTCCTCCTCTTCTTCAATGACCCACCGAGTCCAGTCAGTGCTGCCCATGTACACATGGAGTAGAATCATCCCCTGGATAGTCAACACACCAAGGACCACACTCCTGAAGAAAACCGACTTTCCCTCTCCTGGCAGTCATCAACTGTCCATAGCTCCTCTGCTGAAGGGGAAGGCTCGTGTGACCCTCCCCCCTTCATGCTGGAATGTTACAGAGACTATTAGAGTATGAAACTGACTTGTTTTCAACATTGAACTTTGTGGTCTATGAAGTGTCCTGTACTGCACACACTGCACCATCTGACTGCAGGGTCACAGTCTACACTTAGTCCCCCTCCCCTCTCCCTGTTCTCTAGGGGTGGAGTTCAATATTTAGCTCAGGCACCCAAACCACAAATCCTCCTGCCTCAACCTCAGGGTTATAGGGATTACAATCGTGGACATTGAATTATTTCTCAATTGGTCTCTTGAGATATAAAATGAAACTACAAATCAATTTATATTGACAACCTGGGCGCTTAACAAGCCATATCCTGGGCTGTCCTGACCCCGTGTTTGTCCCTTTCTGTGTTAAGCAGATATTCACTTCCTGTTTCTTTTCTCACTTCTGCTAAACATGCCCCCCCCCCCCCAAAAAAAAAAACAAACCCTTTACTTTCTTTTTGTCTTTTCCTGGTTGCTGGATGCTGATTTCTCATCCTCCAGCACTGGCGTGGACCCGACCTTCTGTGCTGGGCAGACTGCCCAGCTCTCTGGAAGCTCGCACTGAGCTGGGGAGCCCCAATCCCAGGAACCCACAGGGCCCCTCCCCCATGGCGTCCCTTTCCCAAGCCCTCTGCTCCCACCCCGTGCTGTCCCAGCAGGCTACTTCCTGTCCTCTCTTTGGGAGCCGCCCAGGTCTCCGCCCCTGAAGGAGGGCAGCAAAAGTGGCCCGGAAGCAGAGGCTCCAGGACGCTGAGGGGCAGAAGCCAGAGCTTCGGGAGAAGTTGCAGCTCTCCTCCTGTCCTTTGCACAAGCAGACTGGGCCCCTGCATCTGACCCTGGTGAGTGTGGGCAGGCAGGGCTGGGAAATCCTTTGCAGCTTTATTTCAAGTGTGAAATACAGATGTCATCTGTCTGCAGAGGGTATGGTGTCCACAGCGGCGGGCTGAGGATGTACAACCTCTGATCTCCAAATGTGTGAACGTAAATAAAGTTGATGTTGAGTGAGTAAAGTTTTGTCAAACAGTGAATTTACCACAAGTGCAAAAGAAATTTGTTAACACTGTTATTTTAGGAACCGGAACAATTTGTTCTTTTTCTTTATCTCACGATTTAAAATTTGTCCAAAAATCTCTAGTTTGCTATGCAGATAGTCACCAACTTCCTACAACTCTTACTCAGATAGTGTGGACAACGTTTGAACAGACAGAAAAATTAAAGGCCAAAATAACTGGATTGTAA